CAGCTACCCACCTGCAGGATTTCTTCCTTGAGGATTCGGTGGAAACTCAGCTGCCCCAGGTGGTAAACGGGCTGCCACTCCTGCGCCTTCTTGGTCGCAACCAGCAGGTTGGAGATTTCTGGAAGGCAGGAAGAGAAAATATTCCTTAAGCCTTTTCACAGATAACCACGTTCATCCTTCTCGGTCTGTAACGTTACTGCATCTGCTCACTGCAAGGTACATCCCCAAATGAATGAGGAGGAGGGAGAAAAGAAGAAACTCTGACTTCTGCTCAAGTAACTTCTCTGCTGGGGAAACACTAATTCCAGAGCACTGGGATTAAATTGGGGAGTGGGAAATGAACGGAAGGAAAAGACCCAAAAGGCCGGGGCTTCCTTCCCACTGCTTCTGGCTGGGGAGAGGCATGGTTAGACCCAAAAGTCCTGCACATGAGTTTTGTCTTCCTGTGTTTGGCAGCAGGGGTTGCTCATTGCGATACGATGGGTTTAGATGTCTGTGTGCGTCTGGCCTTCCAAAAACTGTGAGCAGAACACGTGCATCAGTGCTGAGCTGTGATCTGGCACTCTGAAAATAACCCGTAATGAACCATACACTGGAAAATCTGCTTTGATTCTGCATCCCCTGAGCTTATTTGTGAATAACAATTAAATAGATTCAAAAAGAAGAAAATAAAACAAGGAAGAGGGAGAAGAGCGAACAGCAGGGATAATGCACTGGATCCTACTAATGCCAATGAAAAGCTGAAGTGGGCAGTCAACTCCTTGACCTGTTTGTTTTATTCCAAATACAGCTGTCAAAATGTAATAAAGATGCCAAAATGCATGATCTCTCCATTCTCCAGACAAGTATCAGCGCCCCTCAGGAAGCTGATAAGCTCAGTGTCTACCTACAGAGCACTTTCCTGGAAAACCACCGGCACAAGCAGGTAATTAACGGAGCTGTTATTCCCCTTGTTCTGAGAGGAAACCATTATCTGATCCACACAATCACGCCACTGTGTTTCCTCCTCCACACAAAACTCAGCTGCATGACACTTGTCGTTTATAGCAAACAATTTTCCTAAGTGTTGGCACTAAGGTTTAACAAATGTGCGATTGTCCCAGCCCTCTCAAACCCAGCCTCGCAGATGGATGCACTGGCTGTTGTGCTTGCTAACAGTTGCAGAACGAGCCTTTCCTGCTGCTCCATGAAGATGAACAGAGCAAACAGTAGCTCATCATGAGGGCTAGCAAGCTTCACACCAAAGGTTTCCACACAACCACTGCAAGTCACAACCCTCCTTCGCTAGAGGAACGCGACACCGTGTGTGGTGGCACTGCCTGGCGTACGTGACCCAGTGGAGAAAAGGAAGGACCTTACACGGTCCCTGCTCCGCCACCGCATTTCAGCCCATGACTGTGAGTCAGCTCTGACATTTGCTATTTAAACACATCTAGAGCTCCACCTCTGCTGCCGATACTGCAGGGCCAGCTGTTTGGGTGGAAAGAACGAAGCCAGAACTCATCTCCCTGTCATCTGAAAAGCTGACGCAAACAAGGCTCATGAGAGGCACCAGCCCCTGAGCATCCTGTGCTGAGCTTGTAACACTGGAAGGAAACCCCTAAAACCTTGGTCATGGTGCTTGCTTTTGCTTTCTGACCAGACTCCTCCTCCACAGAGAGGGAAGAAATGACAAATTACCTCTTGGTTTAGGTTGGCAGCACCTCTTCAGTGTAAAGCTTATGTTGTCTGTCCGAAGTATCTGTCCTTTCAGGTGATCCATCAGCTCTTTCAAGGAGGAGAAGGACTTGTTGGAACCATGCAGGAAGTACCCGCCTTTCTTCACTTCAATCTGGAAGTTCTTGTACTGGATTGAATTATTTATCATCTGCTATTAAGGGGGACAGGAGAAAAAAAGAAAGCAAAATATACTTATTAAAGAATGTTTGTAAAGCCATAAAAGCTCCTCAAAAGCCTTTGAAATTACACGTAGGTCTAGTCAATCACTTGCTCCTAAGCCAAGGTCCTCTAATTGCACTCCAAGAAAGTAGGAAAAGGTCCTAAAATTCCTATAACCTTCAGTCCTAGGAAAGCTCATAACAACAGGGTGGAAGAAGAGCAACATGAAGATGCAATCATCGAACAAGTGCAAATTACAGCTTCTGTGCTGTGCAGAGCCTGGGAGCGTGCAGAAACCCTGCTTTTTTTTCAGGAATCTTCTCCTCACTTGGTCAAGAATTGCAGAATCTGGGCCATGGTTTCAAAATCTCAGTTTAAAAATAGCAAAACTCCGTTTCACAACCCAGATTGTTCAACAAGCGACACCACATTTCAGGCTGTTGGTCACAGCTCCCAGTTTCACTCAAAGGTACGGGGAAAGAACAACTGGGCTTCTGTCCCTGCCCATCTCAAGCCCATGCCCTCTCAAGGTCTGCCCTCCACATCTGCCTCCTCACCTCTCCCACCTCTCTACGTCTCGCAAGGAAGTTGAATATTTTCCAAGGTAAAATGCATTTCTTGTTTCAATGTTTCAGCTGCTCTGTTAGAAGGCAGTGTTGATCATCTGGTATTTCTGCGAATGGCTACAGAAGATGAGCCCAGTATCACATATCCCTTCTTGACCTCTTATTAATTTTACTAACAGTTTTTTCTAAGGGAAGAAAAGTAGTTTACATGTGTTTAAGTTATTATTATTCTTGTGTGAAAACTTTAAATATTTTCCCAAAACTCCTCTGTCAGCTGCAGGCCTCCAGCTGAGGTCAGTAGAATTCAGATTTCTGTGCAGTTTCCACATTCTTCTCTTCTACTTCTAACCACTTCCAATGGTTCCCTCACCTATCCCACCTCATCAGCTCTTGCTTATCATTCATCTTCCAAGAAATAAGTTCCATCAGTTAAATCTGTGTTTATCTCCTCCTGTGGTGCTCTACAAGTAAAGGCAACTGTCCTCATGCAGTATTCTTTTACAGTTTGCCAGTTAAAATACAATCATATAATTAAATCCATGTTCAAGAAACGGTAGGTAAGCTGTAGTGACAAATTCTGTATGTCATTCTCACAGTGCATGAGCTTAAAAAGCTTAATTTCAATCATCGTCATGCACAGTTTTATTGCAGTGAATGGAAATGTTCTGGATGTAATGACTCATACTTGTAGATAACGCATATTTGTAGAGACAGCACAAGGGTCTGGGGAAAATGAAGCTATAACTATCAAACAGAAATAAGGGTGACTGCCCTTGAGAACATAAATCCATCGCCATGGATTACAGTTGTGAGCTCCTGACCAGACTGCTACTGGGAATGCCCCACGTTCCGTACCTCCGAGCCTTCGAAACAAGTCACCGTCATCAGGATGTGGTTGAAGTTGGTGCAGCTCCATCT